CCGCTTCTGTTGCATGCCAAAAATCACTTACATCAACTTCCCTGTATGCAAAAAAATACAAGTCGATAGCGTTTAGCGTGCTCCAACAGCGAGGACCCTGCGCCTAGGCTAAATTAGCATTGGGGCACGGGGCGCGCTTTGCGCAGCCATTTGTACATTTAGGTACGTGTGGCGCTTTTGAGCGCTTTGGGGCGCTTTTGGCTTTTGGGCGCTTTCGGGCGAAGTATGGCCAGTGCCTCAGAGTTCGCTGACCGTAGCTGCTAAGTTCCACCGACAACTTTGTCTGCTGAGAAAAGAAAGTTGAAATTCTACAGTGAAATTCGCAGCGTTCTTCTCAATTCTAGGTTTATTCAAATCATTATTCTTCTTGTAAATTACACAAAGCTGATGTGCGTATACTTTGCCTAATTTCTTTATTCTCCTTATCTGAGATATTCTAATCGTCTTCTCTCAAATATTCTAATTTTCGTCTTCCTTCAAATATCCTCATCTTCTCTCAAACATTACAGCATGCTCTGCACTGCTTGCATTACTTGATCTATCTCCTCCACTATTCTTGACTTCTTTTTTATATGACACTTCACGCAGCTTCACCTGCTGTCTTCTTTGCTTTGCTACTCAAATATTTGGCCTCCCTGTAGTGTCTAATAAAACAGGCGCGAAAATAGACAGAGACATAATTATCTGTATCAATTGCCACAACCGGATCTCAGGTATGCGTCTTTTAGGGAAGAAAGAGGAAAGAAATGCCTCCACATATTTTTGCAGTAACGGACGAAGCTTACCGAAATATGTTACAAGAAAGAGAGGACCAGTCTATACTTTGCACGTATGTTTCGCACATAGTAGATGATATAGGGAATGCAGAGTGTCACTCGCAAACCTTTTCTTCAGTGGTGAGTCTGGCGCTGGCAAAACGGAGAACACTAAAAAAGTGATTCAGTACCTCGCATACGTTGCTGGAACGAGATCTCATAAGGTATCTAATTTTCAGACGATTCCATAGGCTGTTATTACTTTCTTTCAGCACTTTGGTGGCCATCATGCGGATATCAGCGGAAACATTGTGAGTGTATTGCTTTGATTATCCAGTGTTATTTTACGTGATATTGATCTTCTGTTATTACTGGTTTAGCCTATGTCCGTAATTTAGGGTCGCTTGGAAGAGCAGCTTTTGCAAGCCAATCCCATTTTAGAAGCATTCGGAAACAGTAAAACAATCAAAAACGATAACTCTTCTCGTTTTGTAAGTTTCTCCACCGAGATTGCAAAGACTTCAAATTACTACTTAGGGCAAGTTTATAAGAATCCAATTTGATGCGACTGGCTGTATATCTGGTGCTAATATCGAATTTTACCTGCTAGAAAAATCTCGGGTTCTCCGACAATCATCCATGGAGAGATGTTTTCACATGTTTTATCAACTTTTGCATGGAGCAAGCTCGCATCAAAGAGGTGTATACATTACTGTTGTTTGAGATGCCTGAACATTACTACCATTCAAGAATCACTATTACTGGAGCGAAGCGCTGACAGCTATCACTTCCTGTCCAATGGAGATCTAACATTGCCGGGTGTCGATGATGCTGTGGAATTCAATGAGACAATGAATGCCATGAGAATTGTCGGGTTTCAGGACTCAGAAATACAAGGTACAGTAAAAAAAATTTTTTTACGGTTTAATGTTTTTTTTTCAGCCATACTTCGAATTGTATCAGCGGTTATGCTGTTCGGTAATGTGCAGTTTTCACAAGACAGCAGATACTGCGATCAAGCAGTTCTCGTTAATGATGCAGTGGCCCAGAAAATCTGCACACTTCTTGGATTGAACCTTGCTGAAGTCATGAAAGCATTTCTCAAGCCCAAAATCAAAATGAGTCTATTCGTATTGTTGCAGCCAATAAAGTCAATAATCCCAGTGTAATCTGATGAGATCTGAACTTCAACTCTTGATCTATTTAATGGTTAATGAGTTTATTTAGGTGGGACGAGAGTACGTTCATCGCAGCCAAAATGAGGAGCAAGCGAAGTTCTCTGTTGAGGCCATCTCAAAAGCTAGTTATGAGCGACTGTTCAGGTAATTTACTTGTTTTGGTCACCTCTTAATCATTTCTTACTTGCCAGTTCTCTGCAGGTGGCTGGTTCAGCGTCTTAATAAGTCTCTAAATCGTACATGGCAGCATGCAGTTTCGTTCGTGGGCATTCTGGATATTGCAGGGTAAGATTTTTGGTGGTTTTATTATGAAGAGATCATTCAGATAACG